TGCAGATACTCTGTCAAGGTACCCTGTTAACTTGCAGGATGGCATGAAAGAGCACACAAAGATGATGTCACCTGAGGTTGTGTCTGCAATATGGCAAGGAAACAAAGCTGTTCAGGAGAGTGACGTGCCTTTGGTCGCAGCCTTACAGCTTGATGGTGGAAATGCAGATATTTTGTCACCTGAAAATGTTTCAACAGTTACCCCTGAAAACATCCTTGCAGCACAGCGAGAGGACCCAGCCATCACAGAAGTTGTCTCTTTAAAGATTCAAAACTGGACTCCAAATGAAAGAGACAAAAGAAACATGAGGAAAGAGACAAAGAGACTCCTGTATGAATGGAATAAGTTTGAGGTTGATGACGGGATCCTCTGCAGACAAACAGAACAACACAGACAGCTCGTTCTTCCTGAGAAGCTGAAACCACTGGTGCTAAAGACTCTACACAACGACATGGGTCATGTTGGCGCCGAAAAGGTAATCCATCTTGCCCGAGAAAGATTTTATTGGCCCAACATGCAGCTTGAGATAGAGGACTATGTCACCAAAAGATGTGCCTGTATTAAACAGAAACGTCCTAATCTCCAACAGAGAGCACCTATGGGACACATCTCCACAAGCAGTCCATTCGAGTTAGTGTGCATCGATTACCTCCATCTGGAACAAAGTCAAGGTTATGAGTACATCCTCGTTGTGGTTGACCACTTCACACGCTTTGCTCAGGTGTATCCAACAAGGAATACATCTGGAAAAACAGCAGCAGACAAGATATTTCAAGACTTTATTCCTCGCTTCGGATATCCTGAGAGGCTCCACCACGATCAGGGGAAGGAATTCGAGAACAATTTGTTCAACAGGTTACAGCAGCTGGCTGGTATTGGCCATTCAAGAACGACACCCTACCATCCACAGGGTAACCCCGTGGAGAGACTAAACCGCACACTCCTTCAGATGTTGCGCACCCTGGAAGAGGGAAAAAAGAATCAGTGGAAAGACCATCTTCCACATGTTGTCCACGCCTACAACTGCACAAGGCATGATTCCACCAGCTTTTCACCATTCTTCCTCTTATATGGTCGTCCTCCACGTTTACCTGTTGACTTACTGTTCCCACCGAAAAGACAACCTGAATCTACCAATCAGACGACATATGCAGAGAAATGGGCAAAAAGGATGCGCTCCGCATATGAGATTGCTGCACAGAACAGTGAAAGATCTTCAGCCAGAGGCAAGAAACAGTATGACAGAGCAGTCGGGGGTATTATCCTTCAGCCAGGCGACCGAGTGTTGGTAAAAAAATCTGTCAGAAAGAGGTGGACCTGGCAAGTTAAGGTCATACTGGGAGCAGGTTGTTCACCGTGTTGTGGAGAGAGTTGACAACGTACCAGTTTATAAGGTGCAACCAGAGAAGGGATCAAAGACGCTGCGTGTTCTTCACAGGAACCTGCTCTTGCCAGTGAATGAGCTGCCCCTGGATGAAGTGAATCCTGCTCAACATCGGAAAGAGGAGCCAAGGTTGGAAAAAAAGACACAGACCCACATTGCCGAGGTAGATGAGGACGACTCAGACAGCTCGGATGACGAGTACACTGTTCAGTCAGTTCCATGCTACAGGTTAGTGAGACCTCAACAGACTGAGCATAGACAAGCAGTGCACCGCCCTGAGACACAGTTGAGAGCAAGAGCCTGTGAGTTTCACCCCGCTGTCAGAGAGGAAACATACGCTCAGGAGGAAAATCCACCACCGATACAGGAGGGAGCTGCTGAGGATGTTGCAGTGGAGGAAGAACCACAGGACAGACATATGGAAGGAATGGTAGCGGATGAGGAGGGACATCAAGTGGAGGCGGAGACAGTCAGAAGATCTCAACGGACAGCACGTCCAAGATAAATGTTCACCTATGGCACAATGGGACTAGTGTTGTCACGATACCAACATTTTGGTTTCGATACCGATACCAAGTCAAGAATTGCGATTCCGATTCTTTTTCGATACTTTTCTTAAAAAAAGGGAAACAGTCTTAAATGTAATTATTGTGCTTTATTTCACACCAGAACCATAACAAACTTTTAAACAATGAGAACAATAAACTAAATAAATGACAATAATTTGTATTAAATAAAATTAAGCATCATCTCAAACAACTTTTTTGTTTTATAAAATATAATTTTTTTAATATGTTAACATGTACAGTAATATAAATAATTATTGACAAAATGTATATTGCAGATGTTAGCCACATTGGTAAGTTAGTTAAAAAGATAGCCATATTAGACAGTTATCATTGCCATTAATTGCCTCGTCAAACTACTAAAACGTTCGTTTGTCACTAAATAAAATACACTTGTTTGACTTAGATTTGAGGGCATGGGCTTGAACATGATGTAATGATGTTATCTATCACATCCGCTAACCTGTCTGTCTTTAAATTCTTTAAACAGCTCTGGATGGCGGTCGGCGAGGTGCTTAGCCAAGTTTGATGTGTTGGCTTGCTCCCTTGGTTTGCAGGGATCTAAAACATTTCTCACAGACAGGCCTCGTGGTGTCCGTAGGCTTGCCCTCACTGTCAGAGATATAGCTAAAATACTTCCAAATTTCGCTTCTGGCGTCTTTTTTGTCAACAAGCCGAGGCGCAGCGGCAGTTGCACTCCCACTTGCAGCCATGCTTCTCGTTTTCTCACATGCTCTGGCAGCTAGCGCGTGGCCGAGTGCACGAGAGAGGGGAGGGACTTACCCCCAAAACACACCAGGAGCGTCTGCGCCGCGTTACGTTGCGGCTGCGCCACGCTGCGACCTCCTCCTGCGACAACACACACCAGACGCGTTTCAAAACGTTGCGGAAGCGGAGCGTCGTGTGTGCAGCCTCGCAGTTGTTGTTGATTTTGGAATATTTCCTGGACATTTGTACTTCTACAAGTAAGTAGGCTATACGTAGTTAAATGGTTTATGTTTGTGTCTGTTTAAATCGTGTTTATTGTTGTTATTTCCTATTTTGTTGTGTTGTAGACTACAGACACAGTTAATAATAATTGTAATATTCCAGTTATAAACGACATGAATCAAAGATGTGTTGCTGTATTTTAGTGGTAAAAAAATATGCATTCATCATCATAATTATTCTATATATATATATCATTTACAGTGCCTGTAAACCGGAGGAGAACGCTGGCATGTATTCTCCTACTTGAAAGACTACGGGGGGATGGGGGGAGGAGAAGGAGCCGGTTATGGGTGCACCCCCTCAACCAGCAAAGGAGACAACAAGGTGTTAAAGATGTTAAACTACTGAATGGCTCTGTACTGTACCTACAAGTATTAATTAACTTTAAAATATTAATATGTAGTTGTTACCTTCCACTCCACAAACTGCAGCGACTAAAAACCAGGCCTTGTCCTTTCTGATGTTGTCCTTGTAAAAAGCATTGGTTACATCATATAAAATTGTGTGTTTCTCCACTTCCATTATGAACACCTCGTCGTCCATGGTGCGTTTCGTAGTGGAGGTGTTGTGGGGTCTGCTAAATTAGTATATGTGGGGGATGGGCCTGGCCCGGATGCTCACCTTTCCACTTCCTGCGAGGGGGGGGCTGCCTGCCCGACTTTACCTTACGGCTGCGCCGCGGCAAAAATAGGATTCATCCTAATTTTAGAGAAGCGCTGCGCCGAGCCGCTTCTGGGACGCGTCTTAGCCGTAACGCGGCGCGTGTGGTGTAATAGCACTCATTGACTAGAGTGGCCGCGATCCTTACGACCGCGGCGGCGCGGCCGTAACGCGACGCAGACGCTCCTGGTGTGTTTTGGGGGTTAGAGCGTGCTTGAGAGGGGCGGGACTGCAGGCACGGCTGCAGTGCACGCAGGGAGTGGAAGCAGAGCGCTGAACACACACGGCTCTTATTAAAACGGCGCTTTCTCACCAGAGTACTTTTCCCCGTCATTCTTAAAGTACCGATACTAATGAAACGGAGGAATCGTACCGTTTTTAACGGCAGGGTATCGCGGTATCTTTCAAGTATCGGTACACCGTGCAACACTAAATGGGACAGCCATCTTACCAGCAGTGGAATGCCGGTGTTAACTCACTTCTGCTAATGTACCCTCTCCAAAGTCAACTCAGTGCTGTTCCCCTTCCATACTTCACACATTCACACCCTTACATCTACAACTGCTTCACACAGGCATATTGACATATAATAGACTGCACTTGTACTTTTTCAGACTTGGTCAAATGTCAGGAGACATTCCAAAAAAAAAGAAGCAGGGGAGAGTGTAAAGGGTTAAACCAGTTCATTGTTAAAAAAAACAGGTTAAGTTAAAAAAGTAATGTAGGAAGTCTGAAGGGGGCGGATTCTTTTCGGCTGTGTACTTTCAAATTTTAGTGCACTCGAGCCGGTTTCTGAAACTTACCTACCCCACCTTTAAGTAAAGAAGCACATTTTAATTCAATATATAACATGTACAAAACAACATGTACAGTGGTGTATTAGTATTATATAATATGTATTGTATAATACAGGATTGAACAGTTTTAAGGGTTTGGCTGCTGATGGTGAAGTAAGTCCTAATGCCTGATATTATATTAAATAATCCCTCCTTTGCACATTTACAGATAACATTTCACATTCTCTTATATATCAACTAAATGAAACAAGATTTTTTAACTAAGCTTTATCCAATGTTCACATTTCTAACCCAGAAATAAATGCAAATGAGCACATATTTAGAAAAGGCATGCATATTATACGCATCTTAAAACATCACATTTTGGCATACTTGTAATACAAAAACCACTTTCTAAGTATACAACTGGGCAAGTTTCATGGTAATATCAAACATTTAAAAATGTACTCCTAGGCAGCTGTAGTGAATCCCATTATTGACTCAATAGGACACTAAAACTACCTATGATATAATAATAATAATAATAATACTGTAAATACTCTGTACAAATGTACTAGTTTAAACACGTCAATAAAAGCAGAAATCTACATCATTTTATTTTACCTTGGCAACGTTGAAGTCCTGTTGAACCGGAGGACGGGGACACTTTCCGAAGTGCAGCGACTGGCCCTCGGCTGCAGCAGCCAGGAGGAGCACAAACAGCATCTTCACAGCCAAATAACATGACATGGTTAAACTTGGTCAACTATTTGGTTATAAACCAAACAAAAGAAAACAATAAAGGTTACAGTACCTGGAATGCCTTCATGTCAACCTGAAGAAATCACCTTCCACTGCTGCTGTATCTACACAAACCTACTTTTGGAGGTTTTTTATTCCATGCGAGACCTTTGGAAGAAAAACATGTTTGAAGAGCATCACAGTTTTGTTTACACAACGTTTAACCGTTGGTGCAAAACTAAGCTCACCGGCAGCTACTGAGCCTTTACCATATTCATTGGAACAAACAGAAATCTAAAAGAACAACGTTTTTTTGCCTCAGCCTCCGATCTTTGTCCAATTGCTTAGCCTTAGGGGACAAGGATCCTGGGCTATTGGCACCTTTTTGGCAAAGTCCTTCGTTTTAAATGAACACCTGCAACATGGAAGACATACTAAACTTCTCAAAAAATGTAATGCGGCTAAACTGGGTCCAACTTTTTGGTAAAAACACAGAATGAAAGAGATAAAAACCTTTACAGTACCTGGGATCCCTTCGTGTGAAATGGCCAAACGCTCCCTCTTCTTATTCATACTTGTTTCTCTCACACAGAATATGCCATTTAACATACATGTTCTGTTTTTTCTTGACAGCGGGTACAACCGGTTAAGCTAGTCCCCATCTTAGATTCTTTCGAGGGTTTAGCTCCTTTTGTCACCAGCTGAAATCCACCAGCTTGTAGGAATAGTTTGGTTGTTTACAGGAAGTCTTACCTTCTAAAAAGGTTTTGTTTTTAAAACACATTTTCTATGGGCATAGCTAGTGGACTCACAATCTTTCCAGTGTCTGTCGGACCTTAACCCAATATGCATCTTCTTGACTTTTGTAAGTTTATTTTGTATATTAAAGGTGGGGTAGGTACGTTTCAGAAACCGGCTCGAGTGCACTCACATTTGAAAGTACACAGCCGAAAAGAATCCGCCCCTTCCTTCAGACTTCCTTACAGAGCACCTCTATGGAGTCAGATTTGGGTCAATATTCTCGCGCGTAAAACAAGCTACTCACGAGCAGAAAATGTGCTTTTACACACGCATAAAATGACCCTCGCGCGCAGATTAAACCCCCGCGAGCGGCTCTGCGCCCACGAGCGGCTCTGCTCTATGGAAAGCCATTTGCGTCACTATTCGCGCGTTTATTCGCGCGTAGTTTCGCGCGGATTAACGGGGAGGTCAGTTTAATAAACGGGGAGGTCCGTTTTATAAACGGGGAGGTCCGTTTTATAAACGGGGAGGTCCGTTTAAGTTCAAAGTCTCAGTAACCAATCAGTGAAGAGCAAAACCAGACCAAAGCAATCTGTAGATGAAAAGTTCCTGACATTGTGAGGCTGTAAATTGTACATTATTCCAGATTCAGGGGACTATGTATTAATTTGGCTTTCAATATAATAAATATATCAATCAATATAACCTGCCTTCATTGTCTTTTAAAATAAAATCGCCTTACCTTATCTTACTGAAGTGAAGGGTATTTATGTCTCCTTAAATCACCTTTTAAATGTACTTCTTATAACATGGCATGGTGTAAGATATCAAAAATGTTCAGTCTCTGGTCTTGCTAGAAATGCAATGTCACTCACCTTAGACTTAGAGCACTGTCTTATGAGATACTTAGCTTAGAAATCAGATTTTTGGAAAACTTAAAAACTCTCGTGAAAACAGATGTACTCATGTCATCCATTTTTTTTGGTGTTTCAGATGTGGTTTACCAACGTTTTTGGTTCACAAACGTAGTGAAATATATGAATTACACTATATGCCTATACAAATGTGTTGTTCATGTCTAAAACGAAAATGTGTAAATTAGAATTTGGAGTAAAATAGTTCCATCACTCTACTTTCACCACAGAAAAGTTACATCAGGACTGATTCATGACTTCATATCCCATACTGAGGTTCATGTGATGTGTACAAATACAAATTGAGCATTACAACTTTTTTTTTCAACCAACTATTTATGTTAACATAAGAAACTGTAAAATCTCAATATTTACAATACAGGGTTCATACACTTTTTCACCAATGATTTTAAATGAGTCTTTCATGTGGCTAGCATGCACTGCCTCGCCCATATTCGAAATATTGAATATGTTACAACACAGTTTGCATTTAGCACGTCTTGGGTCAATGTCTTTTGATAACCACAATTGGTACTTATCCTTTAGAAGCCATACATTGTTGAAACTGCACTTCCCTGGCATCTTTATATCAAATAGTAGCTCCTGTAGACTAGAGGGCGTGATTGTAAACATCTCTCACCAGCGAAATACTGCCAGTTGCCATTTTACGTTTCATTATACGATACAGTATTTATTATCATTATAGTATTACTATTTCGATGATTAGATAACATATCAATTATATTTGATGCGACTTTAGTTATATTTCCATGACTTTTCCAAAAACTTTGGGAAAAATATTGCATTCCATGACTTTTCCAGGTTTTTAATGACTGTACGAACCCTGACAATATCAGAACTTTCTCAACCAACTATTCATTATAAATGTAAAGACAGGGGGAGCAGTGCCATGGTCTTTGTCTGTCTTCCAAGACAGTGGGTCTGGCTGCTGTGTAGGTGGGGGTGATGGTGCATGGGCTGCTGGTGGCTGTGTCGGAGGGAGGGAGGTGTGCTAGGCGAGACTTCTTTGCTGGCTGGGTTGATCGTGATGGCTGTGGTGGAGGCCTTTGTACCGAGGTGTATCTTAATCTTGTGGCAGGCACAGATGGAGGTGGAGGCTGCTGTAGTGATGCTGGTCCTCTGGTCCTTGATGGTGATGGCTCTGGTGAAGGCCCTTGAGCCACGGTAGATCTTGACCTGGGTGCAGGCACAGATGGAGGTTCTTGCTGCTAGGCGCAGGCAGCTGTGAAATCGGAAAGAAATATAGGACAATATTTACTACTAAGTTCATTAAAATATAAAGTTCAAGTGGAATGTTTCTCAAGCACAAATAACAATACACAACTCAAAATAAAATGGGGAGGTGGGACAGGAGTCTCTCTCTCTTACAACCTATTTAACTAAACCCACACAATGAAAGTACACTATTACTGTAATATTTACATTTACCTATCTCCAAATGGATCCTTGTTGTTGCTGCTGTATTCTCCAGGTTCTGATGCTCCATCTCCACTGCTGCTAGTGTTACAAGTCCGCTGTGCAGAGCTGGTAATCAGATAATAAGCCTGTTGAACAGGAGAACATAATGAAGCAGAGAGAAAGTTGCTGCCTTTGTGTGGTTGTCCTAGCCAGAATTGATCAAACACATTAATAAATTCACTTACAAATTATATCCGTTTTCTCTATTTATGTATCTCTGCATTGTGTTGTGTGGTCGAATGAATATGACTTCCTTCTTGCCAACCAGCTTTATTATCTGTGCAAACAGAATATAAGGAAATGGCTTCACCAGCTTTCTACCTCAATACTTCTCCTCAGTGAGGCCTGAAGCTAACTGAGAATGTAAAAATACATTTAGCCAATCAAAATAACTGTATGTCTGACACATTTCGTTTTCTAATAAAAAATGGACATAAATACAGATGCCATATTATGACTTTCATGAAGGATTAAAGCCTTTTTCATTTACAGTATATAATACAGTGATAACAGATAACACACACAACCCGACTGTAGTCACTTTAACATGGCTGTTGTACAGGCACAATATTAGCATAGCATTAGCGCTTTAGTATTTAAATAATATGAACAATTATGACCTCAGACCAGCATTTCACATATTTATACAAACAGAATAAACTTGAAATGTAAGCCAGACTAGTGCACGGGACTCATAGACATAGTGGGGCTACATTATTCAGGGTGCAACAGCCTGTGTTAAAGAAGCTAGCGGACGCCATTAGCCACACGTGAGTGACGTAGCTTACAGAATGACATTAAACTACACATAAAACAGTTTCAAAGACACTTCTTAGATCGAATATGACATAATCTGTGTACACACTACTAACCTGTTGAACAGGAGAAATGAATGAAGCAGAGGGAAAGTTGCTGCCATGTGTCTGTCGTCTGTCTATCATGCCGTTTCTCTAACGCTAAACCGGAAATGAGGCTAAGAACGGCAAACAAAGAAAGTCTCCCTCCGCAGCCGGTTGGCGTGGTTTTGGTACAGACCGACGTTAACAGCAGCCCTGTCTGTGCACACGGAGACCGACTCTGTCGTCCGGTGATCTAACCGCCTTCTGGAAAAGCTTCACAAGTACGTCGGTACGCAAATGCGCTTTGTGACACAAGTGACGGTACGCATTTCAGAGAGATTACGCACATAACCTGCGTACCAGTTATGTGCACCCCTGTACTACAGCAAAAGTATTCTCCGTCGGGACTTCCTGCAACAACACCACGCCGTTATCAAAGATGTTCTATTGAGAAGACGATCACTACGTGACAAAAGTTTTCAAAACCGTGGCTACTGAAATCAATCTTACTAGCTGCTGTCTGTGCAATTTACTACGCGCGAGTTGGCAGACTTTATTTTGCTTACTTTAACATCATTTTTCATGGTGGGGCCAGAGCCGTATAATAGAAGAGTTATGACATCTCCGTTCACTCCAATGGACCACTTGTTTACAGCAATGGCGGATCGTGGAGCCTCTCATTCGTTCCCCGGAAGTTAGCGCCAAGGCTAGCAGAGCTGTGGAGTTGCAGCATAATAGACCGTTCGTGACGGACTTTTAAAGGTAAGAAGAAGTTTAAAGATTTATATTGCGGATATTATCAGTACATCTGATTCAAATTAACATGTGTATTAAAGGATGTCAGTGGATTATCCCTAAATCAGTAGATTTAGGGAACGTTTACAGATAACAGTTCAAGCTAGGATACCGAAGCAAGTTAGCAACAGACGTTGAACAGCCTTTTAATTGTAAATTCCGTTCTCTTAATGTCATTTGGTCCAACGTTGTTGAATTAGAGAAGAGGGGCTTCTAAACGGGATTGTATGCGGGGGTGGAGGGAGTTAAATATTAGATAAATATAACTTTGGTGCGTGTAAGAGTGAGTGTTTTTAGCAGAGCCATATTGTGTCCTTGTGATTATGTTGATTATTACCTGCCTGTATAATATTGCAGCTCAGCTGATTTTGGATTGATGGCAAAGGGAGAGGGACTTAAGTGAGTGTGAAAACACAAGGTACGTTTAATACTACTGTTTTATATAAGTAAGCATACTAAACATGTATTCTATCACTGTATTATATAAGTAATCTTGTTAGTAACCTACTGTATGGCAGGTGGAGGGGCAGTGATGTTACAGGTGGAGGAGCAAGACTGCAAACTCACAAGACAGAGAAATCAAAGTTTGTTCTCCAGAGAAGAGGTTGATTTCACTTATTTCATATTTTCTAAAGATGTGGAAATGGCAACAAAAAAACATGTGAGAGCTGTAACCAAGACAACTGTAACAACAGGAGTAGAGAGCCACCAAGGTTTTTCAAGTCCCTCTCTTACTCCATTTTGCCAACCCAAACTTCCAGGTACATGACGGGACACCTTGCTTGTTTTTGTTGTTTGCTCTCCTCTGGCTGGGTGCTGGCAGGTGGAGGGCAGTGATGTTGGCAGGTGGAGGGGCAGTGATGTTACGTGTGGAGGGGCAGTGATGTTAGCTGGGTGCTGGCAGGTGGAAGAGCAATGTTTAGTCCAAATATTTCCATTGCAACGGCTAATGGAAATGATTGCAGCTGTGGATCTGTTTGGGGGTTGCTGGATGTGGTAGCTTGGCTGCTGTTGTTCCTTTTCACCTTTTTGGATTGGCTCTTGCTTCCAAAATGGCCA